GTGTATACAACATACGGCTGCATGAATATCACAGCAAAAACTAATCTGGAAAGGGTTTCTTTTAAAGAATTTGAAATGACTTAGGACAGTGACACAGAAAATAGACAGAAACAGAACAGTAATAAAGAAGACCACTGGTACCTACACATTCAGACGTACGTAGAAGTGTTTTAAGTTGGGAAACGTTTACAAACTCCACCTACAAATGTGTCTCAATTAAAAGGAGAATTACACAAACAAGAGGAAAATTAAGCGAAATTACGTAACAATGACAACATTAAAATATTAACAATGTTAAAGAGATCATCACTGTGACAACAAATTGGGTGAGGAATTACTTGAAGGCTAAGATAGCACTAAATTTGAGACGACCAATACCAAAATAACATGAAAATCTACTCGGGTGAAAAGAAACAAACAAAAAATACTACACCCAAACAAGATCCAGTTTCAGAGACAATGTCCCTACTTCCTTCACAAAACAATGGTTTCTAAAAACGAGTCACTGACTATCTGTCGCAAAAAAACTTCTGCACTTAAGCAGCTGCTTCATTTACGCGCTCACTGTTTTGCTCATTATACCATTAAAAAATTGGTAACTACGGGCAGTTTTGATGTGAAGAAAAATGAGCAACTCTGCTAAAGGAAGAAAGGCATTTTAGAGAGCACAACACTATTAAATGGTGATTTGTGCAAAAAAAAAAAAAAGAAAGAGATCTAACAAAATGCTAACTTCGAGATGTAAAATAAGAATAAAATTTTCGTAATCACAAGACTCATCAGATGAAATATACACAATAAAATCACATAAGTTTTATGCCAGATAAACGACCAGTACGAAAATTCAACTATCTAAAAGTAATCGCATCCCATAAAAACGCTACCATTCTGACAAACTTTCAACGTCCCGCCCTTCAACCGGATCAACAGAAAATGGCACTTCTTCCTCCGCCACCAGTTCGTTATTTTGCAACTCCGACTAAAATTGGTCTAATTCTTAAACAAATCATTTGGAAGAGCACTATGTAAGCACTGAAAAAAAAAAAGAACAAACTGTCGCAACAGGGCTATTCGGCAAGGCAGCATTCACTTTCGATTTACTCGCTTCCTCATCGTTATCTTTAGTGGCGTGACCAACCATAAGACGATCACTTTCTTCATTACTAGAACCATCACTCTTTCCCAAAATATGCTTAAAAGATTCATAAGAGTTACAACTGTGCTATTTAAAAGTAAAAAATTGCTATGATAGTAGCAAAGAAAAATACTTCCAAATAAACCTCTCAAGCCAATGTACAGAGCCAAATTCTCAGCGGTTACCTTTAAAGACTCATCACCGTATGTCAGGGCGCGCTTACATGACTCTTTTCGACTTTTCACTTTTTCATCAAAGGCATCATGATCAGAACTTCCCACTTTCTGCAGCGAAGTAAGAATTGACGTCAAAAAAGATCAACAGCCACAATTTCTAGCGACGGATAATAACATTCAAAGGGTTTACTACTACACAGAACCTACAGAAAAACGATCTTCCAACTCGTGAAGACTCTTAAGCGACGGTCTTCGTGTCGTTTTCGGCGTTGATGTCATCAGCGGTTGAGGTGCAGAATAGCAAACAACGCGGCCAGCGTCGGCGAAATTCCGGCGCGACACAGGAGTACAGTCATTTAAGAATTGTCGAGAACGATATTCAGCGACAGAAATGTCTAACTGCTAAAAAATACTTAGTTTCAAAATTTCATTTTTCTAATACGCCGCTTTCAAATGCAAAGAATGACTGTGATGACGATAATAAATTAAATATCGATTAGTAATAATAATAATAATAGTATTAGTAGTAGTAGTGATAATAACAATAATAGTAATAGTAGTAATAACAATACTACTAATAATAATAGTCATTACTAGTATTATTACTATTATTACTATTACTATTACTATTATTGTTATTATTCTTGTTATTGTTATTACCATTACCACTATTGTTCTTCTTCTTATTAATAATATTATCACTGTTATCATTATCTTTATCAAATTATTAATATTATCATTAAATTTATTATTGTTATAATTATTAAATTACTATTACTATTATTGAATTTATTATTATTAGCTAATTATTATCATTATTGATATTATTATCACTATTATCACCATCATTATTATTAAGTTATTATTATTATTGTTATTA